AGAGAGAGAGAGAGAGAGAGAGAGAGAGAGAGAGAGAGAGAGAGAGAGAGAGATCGACCATTTTCACTTCCTCATCCTTTACACTCATCTTTTTTCAGCCTTCAGAAACACCGGCCGTAAAGAAAGATCAGGTAAATCCTACGCTACACAAGAATTGTTAAATCAGCGGGGTACTTTAAAACAAAGATAACGAGCTAAACATGCATATAACTGTCAGTGTTTTTGTGACAAATTCTATAAACGAGTAGGTTTCAGTTGTCTCCAAATGAGCTAGGTGTAGATTCATTGTCATTATTTTGGTTAGTTCCTACAGTCAAAGATAACCAATTCAACATTCCTACCAAACTGAATATGTTTAATGTGTTCCTGGCGCTCATAAGACCTTTTGCAATTGGGAGCGCCGTAAAACACTTGCAAAAAAAAAATACCGGACTACTCTTTGTCGATTATTTCTTAGGAGATTGTAGAGAATTTGTTTTTTTTTTAACCAACTGTCCAAATATGAAGGTGCATACAACGCTCTCTGAATAGGACAGACCCTGAACGAGCGAGGAGTTGTTGTAAAAAGATGCACTTTCTCCTTGTAGATGTTAATTCTGACTCTCAGTAGGAGAGCTCGCTTGTCTTGCGAGGCGTGGGTATAGTCAGGCGCCATTGTGATGTTTAGTACATGGTTAAAAGTACCAACCACTCGTCGCAAACACTTATTTATTTCTAAGGCATACTTTTAGCATTGTGAAGTTCTGGGGCAGTATTTACACTCTGTCTAAATCGATGACGCGCGTCAATAGATCTGCTGCACCGAATTAAACAGATGTGGTGAATTCAATTCTCTATCTCCCTGAGGGGGGGGGGGGGTAAACCCACTATGCCGGGCCCCTATTTTGGTACTAAATCTAAAAATGACAAAAACGCCACTAAAAGAGTCATTAAATATTTAAAAAGTCAACCTATTTTAATAGTTCTTCGTGTAAGGACTGAACTCCCAATAAAAGAGACCTGTTTTCGGCAATTGCCAAAAAGTACTTTATTGATGTCGAAGTCGTCTTAAAGGAATATGCCGACGGCTCACCGGCACAGGAGTTCCGACCGCGTGCGTGTCGCTGGCAGTGGCTTGCCGGAGATAAAGAGTTAAAAGCAATATTCTGGCTCTAAACAGGCGGTGGTGTGTTAATGGCACCTCAACCTGAAGAGGTACTGCGCCCAATAGTGGATGGAAGAGCGGTCCTGACTACAAGTTGCCTTTTGTTGTTGTGCGTGGGTGGTGGGCGCTTATTTTAACCTAGTTGCACTCTAAGTGCCGTAAGACTCTCACTAAAACGTTTCGAAAAGTTATTGTTCAAACGCGGAGTGGATACAACAACTAAACGTTGTCTTGCTCGGGTTGGCTCTGAAAGGCAGGGTCGATGCCCGCTTCCTGAATGATCTCAGTAGTGTCCATCGGGACGATAAAAAACACCTACATAAAAAAACGAACAATACGAATCTATTTGTGAAGAAAAGCTGGCGTCATTGCACCAACTACAGGGTACTCAACAATTGGCTACTCACGACCTCAGAATTACAAAGTTCTATCTGCTCGATGCCTAGTTTTGAGAAATTTGACGTCTTTTTTTTTTTTTTTTACTTTAACAATATGTCATGCTTTTTCGAAAGCAGTTCTTTGAATATCTTGATAACGACTCCAAATATTCTTACGATCGATTTTGAGAGAGCATTTAAAGCATTTACTTCTTAACCTCATGGTTTTAGTAACTTAAAACGGCCAAAAGTGTCAGACAGAACTTGAAAATTCTAGGGTAGCGTACTGTCTCTCGTTCATGATAAAAAGTATCCCTTATTGCGCTGGGTGTGCTACTCACCACTACTGTCTGTTATTTAACTTATTCGTAACAAAAAGTAGCTGCTCATGCGCAAACTACAAGGTATACAACGTGTGACCACCGCCCTGTCTAATTTGTTCATGGCAAAAAGTAGCTGTTATTGCGAAAACGATAAGAAATATCTGGCAAACGTCCTGTTTGCACCAACTACAACAAACATTTGACCAGCTTCCTGTCTAATGTATTCATCACAAATAGTAGCCGTTATTGCTCACACTACGAAGAACACAGCACTTGACCAGCTTCCTGTCTAATTCATTCGTGACAAAAAGTAGCCATTATTGCTCATAAAACAAGGAACACAGCATATGACCACTGCCCTGTCTAATTTATTCATGACAAAAAGTTGCCGTTTTGGTACAAACTCCAACAAACAACTGGCCACTAATCTATTCATGATAAAAGGTAGCCGTTATTGCACAAACTTCCACAAACAATTGACCACCTCCCTCCCCCCCCCCCCCCCCCAAGGACGACTACCTGCCCTACATCCCTATGCTGACCACAGAGCTGTCAATGAGCACGGACGAGATCATCTTTTGGCCGGACCAGAACTGCTTTATCAAAGCGGTTCTCGCGCTGGTCAGTGACTGGCAGACGATGGTCAAAACAGTGGACAACCTCACCCCGGACTCTATGTTTGACGCCTTCACCAGGTGATGACTGCATGCACGAGTGTTCTCTGTCTGTCTACCTTTCTCTTTTTTTTCTTTCTCCCTCCCTCCCTTTCTCTCTCTCTCTCTCTCTCTCTCTCTCTCTCTCTCTCTCTCTCTCTCTCTTTTCCCCCCTCTCTCTCTCTCGCTCTCTGTCTATCTATCTATATGTTTTTCTATCTATATGTCTGTATGTCTGTCTGTCTGTCTGCATACCTATTAAAGTGAAAGAGAGGAGACAAACGAGATAGAGACATAGGGAGAGAGAAACAGGGACACAGAGAGAGACAGCACTAGAAAGAGAGAGAGAGAGAGAGAGAGAGAGAGAGAGAGAGAGAGAGAGAGAGAGAGACAGAGACAGAGACAGAGACAGAGACAGAGACAGAGACAGAGAGAGACAGAGAGAGACAGAGAGAGACAGAGAGAGAGAGAAAAAATAGAGAGTAACAAATCTCTGTGTACCCCCCACCCCCAGCCCAATCATCAACAACAAACAGGAAGAGAAGACGTGCGGTGACGGGCCCAGCCTCCGGGTGGTTCTCAACAACGACGAGCGGCTACAGACGGAGATCAGTGACGTCACGGTGAGGCAGAGCCACGTTATACCTAGGGATATACCTTCTCTCCTTTTCAAATCAATGATGATGGTTTTGGGAATACAAAAAGGGTTGTCAGATTGTTTGGCACCATGTTCAACAGTCATGTGGAACGCACTGGTTCTGTGTGTACTGGGATGTGTGGCATGATTTCATAGCTGTGTACTCATTTATCCTAGATGGTCATTTTGGAGACTCTAAAGAGCAAAGCTTACACTCTAAAGTCATGGGCTTTTATACGCCTTTGTCAGCACTACACGTTTATACTCGTAATTCTGGCTTGTGTACGCTGGTGGATGGGGGGCGCCACTGGTATGTGCTACTTCTTTACTTTCCCTCCGTTGTTTCTGTCTCCCTATATTTTTTTTCACCACTCAATGACCATTAATGTGCTGATGTACTTTTCTTGAGCTCTTTACTCAAACATGCAAGGTTTATGGATAAAGAGATGAAACTGATATATTATAACAATAACAATTAATGTGAGGTGTGTTGACAAAACAAATTACTTCTTGCAATCCAGAAATGGAGATATTGGCCAAAAATCTACACTGAGGTCAAATGTGTAGATTTTTCTATTGATGCCATATTCTTTAAGTTTAACATACCTTTTATTATTTCATACTTATAAATTGTAAAAACGTTAGCTATAAGCGTGATGTATCTGATTCCATAGGGCTCGATTCCAAGAAGCAACTCACTTTGTCAGCACTTTTCACAAATTTCATTTTTACATTTCGTAAAACTTCTCCATCGCCCGTTTTTTTTTTTTTTTTACTGTCCAAAGGTGAATATAGACAAGGCGTTCGACCTAGCGTTGTGTTACTCCGCCACCCTGGACAAGCATCGGGTTTTCTACGCCAAAGACATCTTCTTTGAAATCACAGAGCTTCGAGACCCCAAAAGTGTGTACTTTATAAACGTACTTTCTGATGTACACCTTATACCTTTTTGCGAGGGGGGGGGGGGTTCACCCTGTAGCACAAGAAGAGAAAGGATGGGAAAGGAGACTATCAGAGAACAAATTGGCTTAACTCCTTGACTTGCTTGCAATACACTGTAGGTAAAACAAATTACAGATTTTTTTGCATCTGTCAAGACTTGATTACTTGATTCCAGAACAAGGGGTCTTCAGATTCAGAGACGGGATCTATTCCTATCTCCTCGCCATCAGCAGGGTCTACCTTTTGAGGTCTGTCAAAACTACCACCACACAAGATTTCAAAGATTTCAAAATGATTTATTGATTTGAAAGTCCTTTGGCCAATACATCCCACACATTTTATCATATCATGGCTCGGCAATTACATGCTTTGGTGCTGCACATCGGATATTTAACATAAACTGGTCTCGCATGAACGCACGCACGAACACACACATACACACACACACACACACACACACACTCACACATACACTGCTTTTTCTAGCACAAAATGATACTTAATTTGTCAATATTAATGATTGCCTTCAGTTCAATCAAATCGAACATGTTAGTTACTGCTGGTGGTAGTGAGCTGATATTGTAAAAGATGCAGGCTAGGCACGCGAGTTCCTCCTGACACCAAGTGTTTGCATGGTTAGATTCTTTCTAGTATTTTCCGATTCTGTTAAGAAAATAAATCCTAACATTTAAAAAAAATTAATTTAAACTGTGGGTTGTTGGTGGCTTGCTCCTTCTTTCCTATCAAACATCTATCGTCTTTATCTCCCCTCCTTCTTGTTTGTGTTTGTCACTCTCTTATAGAGTCTAACACCTTTCATCTTCGGCACTTATATGACCTAATTTTGTGTAGCAAAACATAAAATATTTAGATTTAAATTGTTTCCTCAGTATCCCTTAAAATTGATTTTACATGTTCAAATGACTCTCGTATCCCACGACGTCACTCGTCCACAGATCCCATTACCCAAGAAGGTGAGCCCGGTAACACAATAATGTTGATAACATTTTTGTTTTTGCTCTCTGTAAAAAGTTTAACGGCACAGCACACACACACACACACACACACACACACACACACACACACGTACACACACACACACACACACACACACACACACGTACACACACACACACACACACACACACACACACACACACACACACACACACATACACGGATGTATCGTAGACTTGCGCTTCTGGTTTTTCTGCGATCTTAATTAAGTTCGTTGATTAATTGACAAAAGTGACAGAAAGGCTGAAAAAAGGCGGATTGATGAAATGAGCAAGAGAGAAACTGAGAAAGGGAGAGATTGGAAGAGATAGAGAGTGCTAGACTAAGATGTGGAAAAAGAAAGGGGAGAGGGGGTGGGAGGGGAAAGAGGGAAGAAGGGTGGGATGAGTGAGAGATAGAGAGAAAGAGAGAAAAAGTGAGAAATGGGGGATTGATATGAGAGAGGCAGGCGATAGTCGGGTTGGTTCTGTTTTTTTGTTTTGTTTGGGAGAGGGGTGGGGGGATTACAGGCAGAGAGAGAGAGAGAGAAAGAGAGAGAGCGAGAGAGAGAGAGAGGGAGAGAGGGGGAGAGAGGGAGAGAGAGAGAGAGAGAGAGAGAGAGAGAGAGAGAGAGAGAGAGAGAGAGAGAGAGAGAAACAACACAGAGTGGGATGGGATGTATATAGAGGTAGAGAGGGACTATTATCTTTCCAGAAGACAAAAATTCAAATATGCAAAGCTGCTTAATTAACGTTAATATATTCTGTTTCTAAAAATGCATGTAATTTACAAGCACAATTGAAATGAATAGCTGAGTTAACTTTTCTTTTAAGAGTATCCGATCATGTCAATATTTTTATCCAGGATATTCATTTATATAGAATTATACTATAACTTTTCGTAAAAATGGATACAATTTTTCTCCCTTTCTTTTTTTTTTTTTTTTTTTTTTTTTTTTTTGTACCCTGCCCAATTCTATCATCTGGCGCTTTTGTGTTTAGTAATAACAACAAACTGTGCGGCATTTTGGGTTTTGAAATTAGCTGTTAGGCTTAGAGTAAACACTCAGGAAATTGTTTTACATATAAATAAATACATGAGTAAATAAGTAGAAAAAAAAAGGTTTCTTCACTCTTATAACGTTTTGGATACAATATTTAATAAAGAAGACAGTGGTTGGAGAGCGCTACTGGCAGCTGCCTTTTCTGTTCTGTCTCTCTCTCTGTCTCTCTCTGTCTCTCTCTCTCTCTCTCTCTCTCTCTCTCTCTCTCTCTGTCCCTGTCTCTCTGTCTCTCTGTCTCTGTCTCTCTCTGTCTCTCTCTCTGTCTCTCTCTCTCTCTGTCTCTGTCTCTCTGTCTCTCTCTGTCTCTCTCTCTGTCTCTCTGTCTCTCTCCCTCTCTCTCTCTCTCTCTCTCTCTCTCTCTCTCTCTCTCTCTCTCTCTCTCTCTCTCTCTTGTTTCTGTCTGCATGTCTGTCGTTCTGTTTTCCAGGACTAAATTACCGCTATTGTGTGGATGTGGTTGGTTCTCTTTGCTTGAACAAACACAAATATATCTGTCTCGACACAGTTGAATTACACGGTCGTCAATTTCTGGGGTATTTAGAATTATCGTTATCATCTTAAAGCTTGTTCATGTTTCTTACTTTTGATGAAAAAAATTCTTCATCTTTCATGAACACAAAGCAAAATATTTGTGATTGAAGAAGGTCGGGGGTACCCTGATGTTTGTTTAAGGTAAATTTAGCAAGAAAATTGCTCTCAAAGTTTAGACTCATCCCAAGGCCTTGGAAACTGCAATTTTACATTTTTTGTTGTGTCTTTCATTGTCGTTTTTCTTAGCAAAAGATACATACAGAAACATGTTTTTAGATTGATATAAAAGGTGGAAAACCAAAAGAAATTCAATATAACAAATTGTGTGGCGGGTCGAAAATTGTTGTTTTCTTCCATTGCTATATTTTAAGAAGCGCCTGATTTCACCACAGTGCCACGGATAAACCTTTCATAAGTACTGGGGCAGGGTTGTTCTGTTGTGCTCTATTTTCTACACCTTCAACTGGTCGCTTTTAAGCACAAGGGGGCTATCCCGAAATAAATACTGTTTTGATAGCATGGACGATAAAGTTTTTGCCCCTTGTTCAGTTTCTTTAAAAGACAAGGAGAGTTTTCTCTGTAACCAAACAAATATACACACCAATGAAACCAAACTTCTCCTATAGGTAGGACAATGCCCACTCTTGGTGTAGGTCCAGATTTCTGGAAACCCCCGGAATCTGGGGTAGCCCGCTTGTCCTTAAAAGCGACCAACTATACGTGTTGGTATGAACTGGCGTCTATGGTGAAGTGTATAGAGTATAGACGCTTTGCCGACGCACGCACAAGACATGAATTCGAGACTCCTTACCTAGTATATCCGTCTGTCTGATGAGACGTTGTATCTGTCTTAACTCGGGGTCGGCCCTGATAGGCAGGGTCAAAGTAGCCCGCCTCCTTAATTATCTAGGTCACGTTGATGGATGAGCAAAACATGTACAGTGGCAAGTAAACATACGACTTGTAGGGAGTTACACTTCGCAAACTGAAAACAAAACAAAAACAAAACATCTAACTCTAAAAGAAGAAAGTCTTCACCGGTATTTGAGTCTACCTCGTGCTTCCCAATACAATACAAACTCTATGATCAACACTATTCCTTAATATGAGAGAGAAAAAAATCTCTCTCTCTCTCTCTCTCTCTCTCCCTCCCTCTCTCTCTCTCTCTCTCTCTCTCTCTCTCTCTCTCTCT